TCACACCTGTCAACAGTTCCTCTGCCAAAATCCTTCTAGAAAATCCTTTGCACGTGCCATATCTTTCCTCCTGGGACAGTAACTGCTGGGATTGAAAAGGAGACAGGAGAGCAGTAGCCCGTCCAGAGTCCATGCAAGAAGTCCAGAGGGGCCTGTGCAGTCCCTGGAAGGCCCTGCTGAAGGGTACCCGGATGTTATCCTCTGCTCCCGCCCTCTGCTGGCTCATTCCTGTTACTGCAGAAGGTAAGAGTCATCCCTGCTGCCCAGCCATTTCCCACTGGGAGCCAGCCCAGCACATCATTCCCATTTCACAGATCAGAGTCAGGCGCTCCCCTCAGCTGGGATGGAAAAGAGCTGGATGGGGAATCAGAATGCTGCTGATGTATGTGGTCCTCATTTTCATGAACCCAGGAGGCTGCCGGGCCCTCTGTGCATCTGTAACTGTGGCTATGTCATTCTATTACCCTGCAGGGAGGTTGCAAGCGTTAATGTCCCAGATATATCAACACCCACCTGTATTTACTTGTGGGTCGGGGCTGATTGAATGGCAGCAGCTTCCCTTGTAGCCTTTGACCCACTTCAATCTACATTCAGAGAAGCCTTGGTTTGGAGTCAGGAAACCGTTCATGCCCTGCCTGTTACACACACGAGTCCCTGGGCCAGACAAATTCCCGGTGCGAGCCTCATCTCTCACATGACCCCACGGGACTTAGAAGCTGCCCGAGATACCATCGGTCTGAGAGCGTGGGACCCGCTGTCGTAATGATAGACACCTGTGAGTCACGAGCTTATTGGCACACAGTGGGACTTGAAACGAGGGACTTGGTCACTTCTTCCCCCACTGATCCAGGACCCCAATCAGCCGTGTCCCTGTAACGCTCACTCTGGCACAGCCCACGGTTCGGTCAAAGCTGAGGGCCTCGTTTTCTGCCTCCACAGGTTCACGTGCTCCTGGTGCTCTCGCCCACGTGTAAGCCCTTTTTCACATGCACTTGAGTAAGAGGGAAACCACGGGCCAGTGAAGATGAGCATCTTTGCCCAGAGATGTCAGAGGTGCTCTGAGCCTCCATCTGACGTTCCAGAATTCACGGAAGAGGACGTCTCAAGGATCCTGAACAACCTGGTGTTCCGAATTCTGAAGAAATGCTATCGAGAAGGATTTAAATCAATGTAGGCGATTCCTACAATCAAGGACATCTCTCCTGAAAGGCCACATGACGCTGACAATTATGAGGCGTGTCTCCTGGGCTTTTGTCACTGCAGAAGGTAAGAGTCCTCTTCTCTTCCCACACACAGCACACCTACCTGTGGGGCCCCTGTCTATAAACCTTCTCTCACGAGGAGTAGCACCATGTGGATACAGTGACAGGAGGTTCTGGGATGAAGAAAGGAGAGGCAGTGCACAAACCCTGGTTTCCTGAGCCCCCATGGGCTAAGAGTCCAAGCGTGCACACCGACTGCCCGGGAAAGAGTATAGTCGGAGCTCCCGCTAAGGGATATTTGTGTTCCCGCACAGCAGAATCGCATGCGCTGCAATTTCGGAATTTGCTGCTGTTCAGTCATTCTAATCCTAATCATTATCATCGTGGTGGTGATTGTTGTTAAAACCACTCTATGAGCCGAAACCGGTTTGGCTCAGTGGTAGAGCATCGGTCTGCGGACTGAAAGGTCCCGGGTTCGATTCCGTCAAGGGCATGTACCTTGCTTGGTTGTGGGCGCATCCCCAGTAGGGGATGTGCAAGAGGCAGCTGATCGATGTCTCTCTCTCATCGATGTTTCTAATTCTCTATTCCTCTCTCTTCCTCTCTGTAAAAAATCAATAAAATATATATTAAAAAAAAAACTAAAAAAAAAAACAAAACAAAAAAAACCCACCACATGAACCTCAAAAACATGGTGCTAAGTTTAAAAAATCAGACACAGGAAGTCATACATTGTATGATCCCGCCGAGGTGAACTATTCGACTAGGTAAATCAGGAAGTAGGTCTGTGTCCACACTGCTGTTGTGGCTGGTGAGGCTCAGTTGGTGGAGCGCTGTCCCACGTACCAAAAGGTTGCCGGTTTGATTCCATCAGGGCATGTGCCCAGGTTTCAGATTCCATCCCCGGTTGGGGTGCATGCAGGAGGCAGCTGATGGATGTTTCTCTTTCTGCCCCTCTCCCTTCATCTCTCTCTTTGAAAGAGGTGATGAAGTTCTTAATTTTTGAGTCATCCAGGAAAAGCTGGCCCTGGTGGTCCACGTAGTAAAAGTACTCGCAGGTGCGGGGCACCGGGCTCTGGCTCTGAGTGTAGGCAACGCCCCCAGCCCCACTGCAGGCCCGCATCCCCAAGGACCATGCCAAGGGCAGGGCCCAGGCCCAGAGTGCCCCACACACCAGCCACATCCTCCGTATTGATTTTTAAAACCCATGTAGTAACAGGTTATTTCCCCAGAGACTGTCATCTTCTGAATGTATTGGACAGGTGCCTCTGCTGTGAGTCACCAGCAATATGACTCAAGGTCTCACCTGGCTGGTCTCTGTGACTGGTTCTGGTGCTTTAAGTTCTTTTATAGTGTGTTATTGGGGGCAGGGGAGTCAAGATTAAACTGTCCAAAGAGCAGTGATTCGGTGGAGTTCTTTAGCAATACCCACCCATTTGCCCACTGGGCTATATGAAGGCCTATTTGCCTGGTACAAACATGGCGACTTCGGATTATTACTGCCTTCAGAACTTACTTTAATTAAACAAAATTAAAGTAAGGCCTAAAATGTATTGCTAGCCAAAAAGAAAATGAGTGTGTATTAGTCCAAACTGTTGCTTTAGTTCTCAGTGGCTCCCAACTTGAGGTCCTTTCCTGTCAAGTGCTTAGATTCAGGCAAGACAGAAACCAGCTCTCTCTCTCTTCCCCCGCAGCCCCCCTGCAGCCCCTAAATAGGTCAGAATGTTGAGTGTTGTTGGTCCACTCCTCTCCCTTCCTCCCCAGGGAGAAGCTGGGAGCTGAGGGTTTCCTTGTGGCCATGTGCCGCTGTGCTGGGGGAAGGGATGATGCCAAGACGGAGCCACAGATGTTCCCACCAGCTGCAGGACAGCTGGCTTTGCGCTCACACTGGGTACAGAATCCTCAGAATGGATCGTAAGGTTCCTCAGAAATGGAATTGGTCTGTGTGTTGTTGAATCAGTGTGTCCCCGAGGGAATGAAGGGTTTGGAACCTTTAGAGTGTCCTCTCCACTCATAAGAAAAAGTTGCTGTAAACCACTGTGCCATCTTATGCTGGCAGCCACCTCATACCCTGGACCACTTGTCCCAATTCCCTCTTCTAACTCCTGCCTCTGTGCAGCAGTCCTGTTCCTGGGAAGAGGTATCTGTGCTCCCACTTGTTCCTTAATTCTCAAAGTATGATATGATCCCTCATACACCTCTTACCACCTGGCCTTCTCAATCTCCTGGCTTTGCTTTGTTCTCTCTAGACCCTTTCCATTACTATGTAGTGGTCTCCAAGTCCTGCATTTACCATCTCCCCCGCCTTAGTCTTACCCTCTGCCTGGGTGTTCCTGTCCAGTTTTGTGCCATATCTGTCCTGTGCAGGTGACCCCCCCAAAACCTATCTCCAACCATAAGATCTATCCCAAAGAACAGACCTGCCAAAGCTAGAACCCTAGAAATCTATTTGATTCTTCTCTTTCCAATTCTATTCCTTCATTCAAACTGTGTCTCTGTGTTTTGAATAATCCAGCCTAGTCTGACACCATTTGTAAACCAAGACATCCCAGATTATATCCATAAATTCAGTGGAGTCCTTTGACCCAAGTTCCTAAGTTTAATATGTTCTCTTTAAAGAAAGACCTCAACCATGATCGTTCTAGCACTTTATTGGAAGTTGGTTGTGTACACCAATGAGATCAGATCAAACTAAAAGCATCATTTCCACACAATAATATCCTGATATCTGTGCTATCTTTTTATATAATTTGCACGTCCAATGAGGCTCCTGATTTGGGTCAAAGAGCTTGAGTGGTCCAGAAATCTCTTTATATAAATATAAATCATAGCATCTAAAATAACCATCATTGTTTTGAGCTAGTTTCCAAAGTCCTGGGAACAGCTCTTAATACATTAGTCAGTACCTTGGATTGTTTGCAGTGCTGGTGGGAGTGAATGAAGGGGGTACATATACCACGGAGCTAAATCTAGCAGGATTGGGGGTGAGGGGGGCACGAGGAGCTGGGGACTGGAGATGCTGAAAGCTGGTCGGGAACTCAGCTACCCTGCATTTTCCAACATTGCTAGAGAGTCCAAGCTAAGAGACTCCAGAGCAGAAAGAAGGAGTTGCCCCAGCTCCCTTGGCATTGCCAGGACGTGGCAGAGCCCTCCTCCAGATTGTAGAAGGAGAGATTCTGGCATAGACCAAGTCCTGGAAAGTTCTCCCCTTTACCCCTCCCCCCCACTGCCATGATGAATTCCCACCCAAATCAGAAAACTTGAAGGAGTGGCACATCAAAGAAAATCCCTTTGAGCCAGTGCACGGCTGGCTCCTTGGAATGAGGACAGAGTGCCTTTGCGTGGTTTGAGCTGAGGGGCACTGACAAAGGCTGCTCTGGCCCCACTGTCTCCCTTGCCATCTTGAAGCCACATCAGTAATAGGGTTCTTTGGTTCTTCCGAGCTTCTCAGCATCCAGCAGTAACACCTATGTACCAGGGTTGACTTCGTTGCTCACAAACAGCCTCAACCCCCACCACGACGTCATGGGTTCTCACAACCCTATGAGGTAGGAAGGGCAGGGGTCGCATTCCCCATGTGAAAGATAAGGAACCTGGAGCTCACAGAACTAGGTCCCCCAGCAGAACGCACGCAGCTGGCCAGTGGCAGAATCAAAACCAGAACTCAGGTCTCCCCTCCCGTATCAAGCTTCAGAGTCTCTCCTCCAAAGTCCCTCCTGCTGCTTCTCTGAGAAAGGGGGGGAGCCTGGGGGAGGGGACGCTACCCTCATCCCTCCCCTGCCCCCTCGTGGCAGGCTCTCAGACAGCCCCGTTGAGGACAGGATGAGTCCGCATGCGATAGATGATGACCGCAGTGGCTGGGCACAGCAACAAGGAGGTCATGATGACGATGGTGGCCAGGATGATGAGGACAATGACCCAGACATCCAGGATGTGCTTGGGAAGCACGGCCTCCGCGGGGACCTCACTGCCGGCATCCATGCTGCGTCACTCTGTAACAGACAGCGAAGGGGGAATCATTCTTTGGCAGCTTCTCCCTGCCTCCCTGGGGCGGGGGGGGGGGGGGGGGGGGGGAGAAAACCTGCTCCAGGAGTCAGAAACTTGAGTCACTTATGAGCTGTGTGATCTTTAAAGTTGCTTGATCAATAATTACAATGGCCTCATTCACCGAGGGCTTCCTGGGTGCCAGGCACTATGCTAGGCACTTACAGGCACTGATTTACATAGTTCTCATTTCAACCACCAACCCTAGGGAGTGGGGACCCTTGAGGCTTTTTTGTTTGTTGGCCTTTACCTGCAGTTATTCCCATTTTAAAGATGAGGACTCTAAAGCCTTACAAAGTGTAGATATAGCTAATTTGTCCTAGGAAGTGAAGCCAGCTGGGTGGGATTACAGTGCCTCGATGTTTAACTATTAAACCACCAAATTCCCAGTGTATTTCTTCTATAAAATGGGAGATTCATTGCTTTTGGTCCTGTACTCCTTCTCCCATTCCCCTGGTAACAGAACCCCCGCTTTTCTATGAAGAACCTACACACTCCATGTCTTAGGGTGCTCGCTTAGAAAGGGGGTGGATATGTGACTTGGGCTTGGCCATTAAACATCTCCATAGCCTCAATTCATAGCGGGCAACCCAGGCCAGATCGACCAAAGTCCTCTCAGGGCTCCTATGCACAAGCTGTTGGGAAAGATGACCCTTTCTGCTGGGATGCTAAACTGAAGGGTGTGAGTCTGGAAGGGCGGGTGTGGGCTATCTTGCCCATATGTGGAAAGAAAAATAGAGCTGCCTGTTTTGAATAATCCAGCCCAGTCTGACACCATCTGCAAAACAAGACATCCCAGATTATAAACCAACTAGAGGCTCAGTGCACAAAATTCGTGCACTGGAGGGTGAGGGAGGGCCCTCAGCCTGGTCTCCCCCTCTTGCAGTCCGGGAGCCCTTGGGGGATGTCAGACTGACAGTTTACGTCCACTTTCCGTGGGCCTAAGCCATCAGTCAGACGTCCATAGCACTGTGAGCCCACTTCTGGCTGAGCAGCACTCCCCCTTTGGGAACCACTGACCACCAGGGGCAGCTCCTATGTTAAGCATCTGGCCCTGGTGGTCAGTGTGCATCATAGCTACCGGTCATTCCACTGTTTGGTCAATTTGCATATTAGCCTTTTATTATATAGGATGGTTTCTGGGTTTTGCTTAAGCATTGCCAGCTTGGTTTCTCTGATTTGGAGCTAAAAGAGTTCTGATGAATAAAATATATAAACCAGTTGTTCCCAAACGTTTTCGATTCACAGCGCCCTTAATGTCTTAGTAATTTCCTGACAGCACTCCAGGCCCAAAGAAATAGCTAGCAGTTCTGTTTATTATGTAGTTAAGTTCAAGAAACTTAATAAGCATTTATGTCGGAACTAAAATAGTAATTATTTGAAAAAAATAATAGACACAAATTGAAAGAAAAAAATATGTTTTTAATTCTTAAGTAGTTACTGAATAATGGCATGTGTGCAACATTTGGACTCTGCACAATTTTTAAACTTCAGAGTCAGACTGGACAGCGAAGTGCTCACTTCCTACTCTGCATTCATTGGTGTGCAGTATTTGCTGTATCATAGCAACCACCCAAAGCTCAGTTCCACAAATTATAGCATAATCAAAAGGAATGTAGTGGGATTAATGTTAAACTGTAAGCTCTCTTGAGCCAGTAGTTTATACAGGGTCTGAGAGATGTCAAATATCACTATTCTTGTCAAAAATATTAAAGATCTTGCAATCCCTATTCAGCCAACTTTCCAGTGCATTCACTGTGGCTCCCCAGGGCCCAGTGCACAGCTTGGGAGCCACATTCCCTGTCCAGAGGCTGGTATAAACAACCTCCCAAGGTTCCTTTTAGATATAAGATCTATTTTATTTTATTTCATTTTACTTCATTGACTATAGAGAGAGGAAGGGAGAGAGAGAGAGAGAGAGAGAGAGAGAGAGAGAGAGAGAGAGAGAGAGAGAGAAACATCAATGATGAGAGAGAATCAATGATCGGCTGCTTCCTGAATGCCCCTCACTGGGGATTAAGCCCAAAACCCGGCATGTGCCCTGATCGGGACTCCAACGCTGACCTTCTGGTTCATGGGTCTACACTCAACCACTGAGCAATACCAGTCAGACTAGATCTAAGATCTTTAATCCTGGTGATTCTGGGTCCTAGACAAAATTCCCAATTGCAGTCCTATTTCCTGCTTTTATGTAATTAGTAACTTTTCCTTTCTAGTCCCTTTGGCTCCAGGCCCACTGTTGCCACTCTAAGTACAGTACTGATTACCATACTTTGCTACTGATTATAGAGCCCCCAAGATGTACATACAAGAATGTTTATTTCTGCATTGTTTGTTATAGCAACCAACATAACCGAAGTGTCCATAAATAGTAAAATAAAGTAAGGTATATCCATATAATGGAATACCATACTGCAATTTCATTCCTTCATTTAGCAAATATGAAATGCTTGTTACACACCAAGCATTGTTCCAATATGTTCCAATATTAACTTATTTAACAGTTATTAAAAATAATGATGGTCTGGGGGGGGAATTAAGCACAGATAATATGAATAGGATCGTTCCTTTGGTTTGGATTTTATAGAATTAAGTAGATAGATAGGTAAGGGTATAAAAATGAAAAATCTTTTATGAGCAAAATCTCTTTGAGTGTTAATAGTGATTGCTTTTGAGTGTTACACTGGGAGTGGAAGTTTTTGCTTTTCATTCTTCATGTCTTTACAGTGTTTGAATTTTCTAAACATGAGCATGTATTGCTTTTTTTGAAATTACTGAAAATGTATTGCAATTGTTATTGGTGTTTATAGAACATCTGCTAACTGCTTAGAATATTCTAAGATTCAGGGGGATGGACATAGGTTTTCTAGTCACGGGAAGCAGCATAGATGAGGAATCCCCAGGGCTGAAGAATTTGATATTTGTCAAAGAAGCAACCCCATTTTCTTTCTTTTCTGGATTTTTTTGTTCTTTTTTAAAAATCGAAGTATAAGTGACATATAACATTATATTACTTTAGGGTGCACAGCGTAATGATTTGAATTTATATATATATATTGCAAAATGATCGCCACAATATGTCTAGTTAGCATCACCACACATAGTTAAAAATATTTTTTCTTGTGATGATAACTTCTAAGATTTACTCTCAGCAATGTTCAAATATGCAATACAGTATTATTAACTGTAGTCACCATGCTGCACATTACATCCTCATGATTGATTTATTTTATAATTGGAAGTTTGTACCTTTTACCCCCTTCACCCAATTCACCCAGCCCCCACCACCTGCTTCTGGTGACCACCAATCTGTTAACTGAATCTATGAGCTCCAGTTTTATTTTACTTTATATTCCACTTATGGGTAAGATGATATGGTATTTCTCTTTCTCTGCCTAATTTCACTTAGCATAATGCCCTAAAGGTCTACCCATGTTGTTGCAAATGGCAATATTTCATTATTTTTGAACAATATTCCGTATTTATATACCACGTTTTCTTTATCCATTCCCCCATTGATGGGCACTTGGGTTGTTTCCATGTCCTGGCTATTGTAAATAACGCTGCACTGAACATGAGAGTGCAGATATCTTTTCAAAGCAGTGTTTTCATTTCCTTCAGATAAATAACTAAATGTGGAATTGCTAAGTCATATGGCCGTTCTATTTTTAATATTTGAGGAACCTCCATACTGTTTCCTTCTGTGGTTGCACCAACTACATTCCCAACAGTGCATGATACTTCCCTTTTCTCCACATCCTCACCAACACTTGCTATTTCTTTTTGATAAGAGCCATTCTGACAGATGTAAGGCAATATCTCATTGTGGTTTTGACTTGCGTTTCCCTGATGATTAGTGATGTTGAGCATCTTTTCATGTAAATGCTGGCCAACTGTATGTCTTCTTTTAATTTTTTTACATCAACTGGATGGAGGGAAAAATGGAAACGGGGGGTGGAGGGTTTGGGAGGTGTCTTTATAATTCTTTGTATTAAAAAGAGTAAATAGCCAAAACCGCTTTGGCTCAGTGGATAGAGTGTTGGCCTGCGGACTGAAGGGTCCAGGTCAAGGGCACGTAACTTGGTTGTGGGCACATTCCCAGTAGTGGGCGTGCAGGAGGCAGCTGATCGATGTTTCTCTTTCATCAATGTTTTAACTTTCTATCCCTCTCCCTTCCTCTCTGCAAAAACTCAATAAAATATATATATTTTTTAAATAAAGTAAAAAGTAAATACATACATTTGTGATTTGTAAGTCAAATAAGATTCAAGTCTGAGACTAAATCAGTGGTCACCATGTGTTATAGAGAGTGCTCTGTGAGAATCACCTTCGAACAGTATAAAAACACGAATTTCTGGGTCCTATTCCAGACTTAGTGAATTAGACTCAAGAGGAGATGGAAGGGGCGCTTTTCTCCTCATTTCCCAGGTGATTTGAATGTGCAGCCAGGTTTGGGAACCCCTGAACTCAACCATCTCTAAGGCCTCTGCAACTCTTCCTCGCACTAGGATTTGAGAATTGATTCCAAGGTGCTCCGCTGCCTGTCTGGTCGGATCTGGGCAAGTCTGATGTTAAGGAGAAGCCCTGACGAGGCTTCCTCAAGCCTGCGGAGGAGGGAGAGCACTGGCTGGCCCTGCCTCAGCCTTGGAAACGTGGTCACCCGCTCTAAGGTCTGCAGCATGGAAGCGTGAGTCACAGGGACTCCCGCACAGTGCTCAGGAGGTACGGGGGCGGGAGAACTTACTCTGTGGTCTCCTGACTACATCAGCAGCTAGCCTGCTTTGGGCCAAAAGATCCCCACAAAGCTCTTTCTGGTAAACCCATTAACATGAGTCCAGATGCCAGGAACACGTCATCTCCCTGGCTGGTTTTCGTAAGCAAAACCTGTCATTTACAGGAACTCAGGCTTCGGGCTCATTCACAACCAAGACCCAAAG